TTGACGGAGGCCAAAGGCAAATGGGTGGAGGAATTGCCAAGCGTGTTGTGGGCGCACAGAACTACATTTAAAGTGGCTACGGGCGAAACACCCTTTGCTCTGACATACGGAAGCGAAGCGGTTTTGCCTGTCGAGATGCGAGTTCCGACCTTCAGGTTGACCCACCGGGATGAGTCGATGGGCGCCCAAGCACGTATCGATGAGTTGGATGTATTGGATGAGCGTCGAGAGGTGGCGGCTTCACGTTTGGAGGCAATGAAAGGTCAGGTTGCGAGGTACTACAACAAAAAGATGCGGGCGCATAACATCACGGAAGGCACCTTGGTGCTGAAAAGAGACTTTCGCCCCAGTGCCGTGGAGGGAAAATTGGCACCCAAATGGAAAGGACCATATCGAATTCGGGAAGTCGTTGGCCCGGGTACTTTCAAACTGGAGCACATGTCAGGCAAGGGAGTGAAGAGAACTTGGAATGCTCAAAATCTACGAAGGTATGAGGCAACCATGGATACAGGCGCCCAGGTGCAGGCACCTTCTTGCGAGTGAAGGTAAAGGGCAGGGTGTTCTTGGGAAAAACGTGTGTTGGTAAGGGGATTATAGTAAAGTGTCCAAAAGCGCCCTATATGCGCCCGTAATTTTGTAAAGCGCCCCATTAGCGCCCGGTCCATGTAAAGCGCCCAAACTTTGTGCCCCCATTTTTCAGAAGCGGATTAATTATTATCTACAAAACTGTCTGTTGAGGAAACACAACAAAGCGCCCTTTCTATAGCGCCCTAACTTTGCTATGTTCAGATAAAGAATTCCATGTGGCACAAAAGCGCCCGGCAAAACTAAGTATAGTAAAGCGCCATGTTCCGCGCCCACCTTTTGCAAAAGCGCCCTAACATTGCGCCCTCACAAGAAACGCGCCCCATTTTGCGCCCAAAAACACAAGTTGGCAATAAAAGGAAAGTTAAAGTGAAAGCAAAGGCGATTGGCAAGGAAACATAAAGTGAAAGCAAAGGCGATTGGCAAGGAAACATAATTCTTACATTATAATGAAAACACAAGGAAAGTCATTACAAAGTAAGAAGGTTAAAACTCGAGGACAGCTACCCTATTCTGCGCCTGAATTCGCATCCCCAGCACTAGGCGCCCTTGGAGAAGGAGAGGTAGGAGCAGATGGCTCGGGCGCCCCGCTTGTCCCGCGAGGCGTCTCCATCCCACCGATCACATATTCTGCCATCTCCGAGAGATCCCAAGTAAGGGTGGGGTGGTCTCTCTGCAACTTCCCCCGCAGAATTTCAATGCCGGTCAGAATGGCATTGGCGCACATGGACTTCCCAGTCTCTGACTCCATCAAGTTGTCCAAAGATTGCCGCAGCTCGGAGATTTCTTTCCGGGCCCTCTTCAAGGATTTCTCGCTCTCCTTGTGGGCGTTCTGCAGCCTCTTCTTCTCCTCCTTGAGGATGTCAATTTCACTGGCCTGGGAGCCGGCTTCCTGCGCCAACGCCTCCTTCTCAGCATGAAGATCGGCCAGCTTTCTGCGCTCCTCGTCCAGGGCGCCCTGCAACCGCGACAGAACCATGGTGGCCGTCATCTGGGCGTCCTCGCACTCCTTTGCAAACTGCTCACGGCGTGCAGTTGCATTCTCCAAATCCAACTTCAGCTGAGAAGCTGAAGAGGAAGCCTCGAGCACCTCCCTTTTAGTCTCGTTGAGGCGTCGGGCGCCTCTTTCAGCAAAAAGAAGGATTTGCAACCATTGGAAAAGGGTCAGCAAGTCGTGCAAAATAACAAGTAAGAAGGATCTAACAAATACAAGTGCGAAGGGGCATACCTTGGCACCCACTTGGGCCAATTCAGCAAAAAGGTGATCCCCGTTCACCTCGGACGGCACCTGCCAGGACTTGGCGGCCGCGATCGCCAAGCCCATGGCACACCCTCGGTCAACGGCGACCAAGGGGGAACAGTTCATATTAACCCGTCCCACCTCGGCACGCCGTGGCCGGAAGATGGGGGGCGCCCATCGGGGCCAACATAGCGCCCCTCTTCATTTAGATGAACGCGGGCGTCCCCCGCCGTCTCCGCCTCCACGTCCACCTCATCGCAGGCGTCCTCCTCGCAGGCGTCCTCCTCGCCCACCTTCTTCTTTCCTCGGCCGGCCCTCTTGCTGGCCGAGGCTAAGGGGGAACCCGCCCTCTTCCCCCTTCGGAGCAAAGGCTCCTCTTCTTCTTCCTCTTCAGCGGAGTTAACCTCCTTCTCCGCGGGGTTGACATTAGGCGCCCCATCGCCTTCTTCCGGAGCGGACGACGCCACGCTTGCCGTGTGCGCCCGAGCGGTGCCGCCCTTTACCGCTCTCTTCTTCCCTTTCTTCTTCTTGGGGCCGGCTGTCGGCGCCTGTGATTGGGTGGCAGGTACATCTTGTTGAAGGGGCGCCTCTTGCCGAGTAGGCGCCTCTTGTTGGGAAGACGCTGCCGCGGCCGCCTCCGCCGCCATACTCGCCAGCCTACTCTTCATAAGCTTGGCGATACTCGAGTAGTCCGCCCCTGCATATGACGAAAGTGAGTTAGTACATAACACAAACAAGGGGGTAAGGAAGCAGAACACCTAGACGCCTACACACCATTGTTATAATAAGCTTCAATAATAGGCGGACGATTATCCGCGGGGCGTAAGTCAACAGGCTCCCCCTCGCAAATCAAAGGGGCGCCAGCCTTCTCGGACGCCGTCAAAACCACCGGCTTATTGAAGTCATCAACATGACCTAACTCCCACTTCCTCACAAAGGCGCCCCCACTGGCAAAGAAGGAGTCTTGATAGGCCTTCACGAAGAAAAACCCGTTGAACCAGCTTCGGTTCAACTTAGGGCATTTCTTCACAAAGTGATGGGGGCAGCTTTTCTTTTTGCGCTTCTGGAGGGATAAGCAATTGTCCAGAGGCACCATTTTGAAGAAGTATCTGAACAAGTTGAAGGTGGGCTCCACGTTGTGCTCTCGGCACCTCAACTTGAATAGGATGACAACCGTAATGACCGAGGGGGATAGGCGCCCGAGGGGGCAGGCGCACGTCGTCAGAATTCCCTCCATAATCGAGTCTAGGGGAAACTGAAGCCCGAAACGAAAGTATTCCTGATAGATCCCGATCCACTTCGGGCCACAGACGCCTACCCGGGACTGAGGCGATGGAGGCGCATACCACCAGTCGCTGGGAAGCTGGAGACTGGTCACCAATTCATGAACCCGGTCCAGGGTGACTGTCGACGTGTGATTTGGCCCAGCCACCTCGAACGATAAGTGCGACGTCTCGGTGGGCAGATGATCAGGTGGGAAACACTTCTCCCACGATGTGATCTTGTAGGACCCATCCGCGGGCAAAAAGCCAGGCGCTGAAGAACTTGACGGCCCAGCTGATGAGGAAGCAGACGCCCGCTCTAAACCAACAAATGACCCAGACGCAACGCGGACAAGGGGTAAGTGACGCCCCTACCCTAAGTGACTAGAATAAACTCAACGAAATCGACAAAGGGAAAAGGACCACTTACCACGTTGAACTGGGCGCCTTGCTTCACCACCGTCGCCGGAGGCGCCTGCGCCCGAGGCGCCTGGTGCAGAGGTCTTGTCTTGTTGTGGAGACGACATCTTGGACGAGAGTGGTGTGTGGGAAGCGAAGAACAAAGAGGACAGAGGTCAGAGCGGAAGCTAGAGAGAGGTCAGAGCAAACGTCTAGAGAGAGGACAAATAGAAGAAAGTGACAGCATCACAAGGGGGGGGGGGTATTTAAAGAAAAACGAGGGCTCACCCGCCGCATGACACGTGTCAGCCATGCCGAAGAGACCCTTCCGCTCCCCCCACCTTTTGGTCTTTTCGCGAGCCACAAAACCACAGGCGGACCTTTGAGCTTCCCCCACCCTTTCCTTTTCGGGGAAAATTCTCAACTCCCAAATTTCGAATTTCGAATTTCGAATTTCGAATTTTCTTTTCTCCAAATTTCCCCGACAAGCAAAGTGTGGGTGAGGGGGGCACAAGGGATAAGGACACTCGTCAAGAACGACACCATGAAGCGCCTGAAAGGAAGGGTCAGTTAAAGAAGGCGCCCCGTTTGGTAAGAGGCGCCTCGGTAGGCAAGAGGCACAGAAGCGCATGGAAGAGCATTCGACAAGGGACACAGCCAAGGGCGGGACGCCTGCCCGCAGAAGAGGGGAGGCAAACGCACCTCGTGGGACCAAGAAAGAAGTGAGAACACGATGCAGGTGCCGAGTGACAAGCGCCCGGTGACTAAGAGAAGGCTGGGTTACAACTAGAGGTTCAGTCAGGCGCTCGATGGCGAAGCCACGAGCACCTAACTGGGGGGGGCAATTGTTGGGGGTATTACCCAGCAAGCTAAGAGATTGGGCTCCCCAAAGAAGGAGTTAGGGGGCAAGGCCCAAAAGGTAAGAACCAATATTCACTAGTGGCCCTCGGGCCCAAGAAAAGAGGAGGGACCTCAAGAGTAAAGTACCAAGAGCCAGGTGGCGGCCAACCGGCTGGTGGACCACGGCCTGGGGGCGCCTGTCAGGTGTCAGGAGTCTGACAGGGCGGTTAGCTGCCTCACAGAGCACCAAAAGCCAGGTGGCGGCCATCTGGCTGGTGGACCACGACCTGCGGGCGCCTGTCGTGTGTCAGGAGCCTGGCAGAGCTGTGGAATGCCAGTCAGGTGTCAGGAGTCTGACAGGGCAGTTAGCTGTCTGGGGGCGCAGAGCATTAAATGAGGGAGGTGACGTGGCGGAAATCAACCTCGGGTTCGGTGAGTATAAATAGGGGCAGTCGATGGCATTTATGCAGGTTGGTCTCACACACTAAAACCGCACTTGACACTTCTCTCTCTAACTTAGTTCTGACTTGGGCGTCGGAGTGCTAACGGGCATTCCCGAGCCCTTTAGGCGCTTGTCCTTGCAGGGTCCAGGCGCCTGCGCTGAGTTTGAAGGGGCAGAGATCGAGGAAGGTGGGACCGGAGGAACTTGGCTCAAACAATTCCATTGTTCTTACCTATGGTTCGAGAGACAGAGGGAGAGACTCTCTATGGAAACTGTTGCTAGTATCGTGGTAGCTATCCGATCGACGATGATAGCGACAGAAACTTCGTGTGGCAAGGAAAGGATGGACAAAGTTAATGGCGATGAAGGATGAGTGCTGGCGGTGTGGCTCTGTTCCGGCAACAACAAAGATGGCGACAGTGAGAAGCTTTTGGCGGTCGTGTTGTTTTGATGGATGGAAGGTTGATGGTGATGATGATGATGGGCGGGAAGGTGGGCTGGGGAAGCAGTAGTGGTAATAGGGAGATGAATGAACCGAAAATGGTGGTGTACGGCCGGGTGGAGAAATGGTATCATTCCATGGAAGGGGGAGTTTATTTAAGCTTGCACCGACACTTCTCTACAGCTGCAAGTACTGTATGCTTCTTTATTATGCCAACTCATACTTTTTTTGTGAAAGAGACATAACAAACATTATCTTCTTCTACTGATGAAATGGTGTGATGGGCTAAGTTGGAGGTGGTGTTTCCTGTTGGCTCTCCATTGGGAGGGTGGGGATTAATTGGGGGTAATAAAGAGTGGAAGAGATGGAATTGTGTACAGATGGGAGGTGGGATTGACGTGGGGGTGGGGTGGTTTTCCTTTTTTTTTGTTTTGTTTTACTAATAATAATAGTAATAATTATAATTGTTATTACTATTCCTAATCCGCAGTCCTTTATACGTAACCCTCTATCCAATCGTTCATTTATCATGATCGAACATGAACTTAAATGTCGGGGTGTTACACCCGAACTCGATGAACCCGCAACCCGACTAACCCGCAACCCGTTTAAACCCAAACCCGATTGAACCCAGCCCGAACCCGCCCGATTGACACCTATAGTAAATTATTTTATAATTGCATGTGGATATCTTAGCTTATTGCACTATGCTCTTAGTGAGGGTCTGGACCGTAAATTTGGTGGATTTGGTGAATTAAATTGAAAAGAACATGATGTCTAGGAATTTTAACTATGCACTTATAGGTAATTTTATCCAAAACACATATAAACACATTGATTATGGTAGGGTTTGGGGTCAATTTTCTAGGGATTTGAATATTGTTAGAATAGACTTTATAGGGTATGGGTATTGACATTACATTCTATTTAGGCATGAGTTTACCTATTTATATGAGACTGATTAAATTACACATACGAATTTTGACCAATTTGTAGAAGTTATAAAGTTTAGGTATAAAATTGTAAGGATTAAATTTTTTGTTACGGAATGAATTTTTTCATTAGTTTCTATGACTTATATTCCAAAAATTAATTTTAGGTACTAAAGTTTGAAAATATTATATGTACCAAAATTTTGATTTTATATGGTCATGGTATAAACCCAAACTTATGATTTAAAAGTCCAAACCACCGCAAATAAGTGAGTATGTCTCTAAAACTATAGATATGTACACTTTTACCTTATCTTTGAGTTTCATACCCAACTTATTCTCATTTGGATGATTAATTACTCATGGATTCGGTCAAAATTGTCATTTCTACCATTTTCGTTCCTAAAAACATCGCAACCAACCTTAATAATTATTATTCATATTGTCAATTTCTAATAATAGTATGTAAATACTCCTTATAATACATATAATGGCCGCACGAATTTTATCCGTTTAAAACTTCATTATGCATATTATTGTGAAGTCATTTCATTTTTTCCTTTCATTTGATGGCTCGCGTACTAAACACGTATATTCATATTTAATGAATTTAATTGTTAAATTAACAATTATTTATATCTTAATTTATTTTTAAATAAAATAATGATATTTTTTAACTATTGGCGTACTATTAAATATGCCATTAGTTTAGAGACGAAGTCAAGTATCTGTATGTATTATATATGTAACTTAGTCGCACTGTATTTTACTAACTATTTTTCAAATGAATAAATTCAATAAAAAATGAGTTGTTGACATAATAATCAAAAGATAACTCTTTTACTATCATTCATTTCGAAATATTTATTAGGCATGGCAGTATAAGAATAATATTGAGGAAGTTTATTTATAATCTTTGAACAATTGAAGTCCTAAGCATAACTTGTACAAATCTTCACCTGAACCACTCGCAGCCAGTCGACACCCCAACTAAACCTATTGCTCATCCATAACAAAAAAAACTACAATGCATTCCCTGATCTATATAACATGACAACCAACCTCATATAATTATGAATCAGATTGTCATTGGTCAGTTAAGTACTAATAAATTCATATATAATCAACTTCTTACTACGACACCCAAGTAAAATATATTGTCCATGCATGCCAAACAAATTACGATGTTTAATATAAACAAATTTACAATACTTCTGAAAATAAATGATTTACCAACATCATAAATTACATTTGTCTTCTCGAAAGTAATTTGTACTGAAGTTGTGCAGTATTATTAAAAAATTTCCTCAAACACGATATTTTGCACGGTCTTAGATTCTTCATCTTGTGAATCACAACTTAAAATCTTCATTCCATGTAAAAATATGAGATATTACAAAGGCATTAAATTGGGATGATATATACTAATTTGTTCTAGTTCATGACTTTGATACTGGATAACAATATCAAGAGAAAATGCTTGCTCACTATTATAATAAACAATTAAAGCAACAACCTCATTTGCATATGACAACTTAATTTCAACTTGTCTAGAAGAGGAAGGTCAAGCTCAGGCAAAAATGTGTTCTATACATAAGATTTGTATAGAAGAGGAAGGTCATTCAATAAAACAATAAGATACTAATTTCTCTATACATAAGATTTCATGTGTTGTAGACTAAGTTGAGAATCTAATATAAGAAAAGAACGAATAGCGTACTTGTCTAAGAAAAACTGAACGGTGGGAAGAAGAAAGTTGTTGATGTGGATAGCCGCCTGAATCTGGCCTAATTGAATGGGTAAAACTCGAACCAAATGATTTTCAGTTGGTACAGATAAAACTCCAATGTGATATTACGGGTAATGGGTGCGCACTGTTTTCTCACTGTACAACCGGAACCCGCCTGATTATACACATTTCTATGTATTTTTATTAGAAATGGTCATTATTTTTCCAACATATTTTATATATAGCATACAAAAATAATATTTTCATAAAATTATATTGTTTAAATTAATTTTATTCATTCTAGTGAATTTTTGTCATACTTTTCCACTTATCCAACGTGATATTACGGGTAATGGGTGCGCATTGTTTTCTCACTGTCCAACCCGAACCCGCCTGATTATACACATTTCTATGTGTTTATATTAGAAATGGTCATTATTTTCTCAACATATTTTATATATAGCATACAAATATAATATTTTCATAAAATTATATTTCTTAAATTAATTTTCTTCATTCTAGTAATTTTTGTTGTATTTTTCCACTTATATAATATGAGTATACGTGTGAATGTTAACATGTTGGTTGTAATTATAAAGAGAAATTATTACCCATGAATAATCGTGGATACCCAAAACCCGAATGAATATGAACATAATTTTGTTTTTCTATCCGATTCTTATATAGGTATGAGTATAGATAAAACTCAAACTACAGAAAACAACACATATGCATTATTCCCCTAACCAGATCGTGGCCATCCAGAGCTGTTATAATTTTTGAACACAAATTAAAGCCCCGTACACCTCTGCCTTCCATAGCCCTTCTGAATTACAATATACCCATATAATTGAAACCTTTTGCTATTCTCTATGGCCCATATAAAATTAAAATATATTTATCAAATCCCTTCGTCCTCTTTTTTTTTTTTTTGCTTTATATGGCTCACGTATAAATTAAAAAACAAATTGACCCAAATGACCCTTCGTTCTTTGCGCAGGAGGCTTTAAATTTTGAATTGATGGGGTTTTGAACAGGAACCTCCATATATGTTTGGTTTAGTTAGTTTAGATACTAGATAGATTAGATGTGTAGATTTTGTTATTTTTTTTTTTTGGCAGTAGTAGTGCAGAAACGACAAACCAGTGGGCTTTATCTTAAGAAAAAAAAAAAGAAGGGAAGAAGACAGCCCGGTGGGCTCGGCCCAAAAGAAAAAGGATAAGACGAGTTGGATTCATCCCTCCACCTCCAAGACGGCGGCTGCTCTCCGAAATAGCAACCCGTCGCCGGCGCAGCGATCTCCCTACTTCCCGATGTAGGCAGCTGGATGAACGATCGAAGTTTGATTTGGTAAATAGCTCCTACTCTTCATCTATCTCTTAGGATATTCGTATTTCAGGTTCGGGATGTGCTTCCAGTCCAGATGACTGTGCAACGCCTTTGAATTCCAAATCTTGTGTGTACTGTGTATCACCGGCTCCCGTCCGTTGGCCTTGGATAGAAAATGACTCGTATAATTAACAAATGATTTTGTGGGTTTCCTTTCCTTTCCTTTCCTCGGTTATGTTTTGCTCTAGGGCTTGACTTGGCAATGATCATAAAAGGGATATTCGGAAGGTACCAGAAGTGGAACCCTGTGCATCCAACTCTGGGAGCCTTTTGGGGGATGGGATTGGGAATCGGCTGTGGCGTCGGCTGGGGACCTGGATTCGGCCCTGAGGTGATTGGTTACGTTGGCGCTGGCTGCGGGGTTGGCTTCAGTGTAGGCTTCACTTTCGCAGGGGTAGGGGTCGGCCTCCCTGCTAACCACCTCATTCAAGCTCCTTACAATGGTACATTTATTTTCCCCTCTCTTCTCTGCATTGACATTTTTTGTTTTGTTTGTTTTTTGAAATGGTTGATTGATCGTGTTTGTGTTCGATTCTTGATTCAGCTGTTGAGGCAACGAGACACAATGTGTTAGCTGTGGCTCCTTTTGTTGTTGGATTGCATAGAGAGGCTAGTGGGAGACTGGATAGCTTTGGTAAGAAATTGCAGGCGGACAAAGGGTTGTTGTTAGGCAGCTTGGACTTAAACTCGATGAGGGATCAATGGTCGATCCATAGTAGATCGTTTTCAAGAGCGCTAGAAACTTGTACCAGTCGCTTGCTTCCCCCTCGCAAAGGTACGTGGTAGTACCGATGCAATGCAGACTTCCATTGTTTCATTAGGCAAAGCTTTGTTGCTGCTGTGTTTGTAGGAGTAATATGTTTCGGCCGAATGCAGGTTCAGACGATTAGGTTAAACGTGCTTCTTTCCATGTCTCAACCTCGTTGTGGTTCTTGTGAAGAGAAGAAGGAAAACCTGGTTAACTTTGTGCTCTGAAGATGATATTATAGCCAATTGTTGTTGTATTGTGTTCTATTGTACTATATTGTTGTAAAGTGGTAGATCTCATCCTTTTGTTGAATTTTTGTTAGTTAGCTACATTTGCAATAACAATTCCACTGCTTGTTGAATCATCCATTTCCTGGGAACCTCTTTTACAGAGAAGATACAATCCAATGGCTGTTGATTACTTGCAAATGGAAAGCAAAATCACCAGCATTACCTCTTCCCACCAATAATGGCAACAAAAAGTAACAATTCATAGATGAAATTACAATCTCTCTTGTCTTCTTCATGATTTGGGGTTGGATGCAAATAATTTCATCATGAATTCTGTTGCAAAATAAACAAAAACAACAAAACAATCTTCATTCAGCCTGGATAAAAATATGAGGATGAATAGCACTTTGGGTGTCAAGGTTCACCCGAGGTTGAATCATTCAATCGCCTCAATCTCTAGATGTATTTTTATAAAAGTACACATCTAATGTCCGAGATCACACAAAGATGTGATTTGACGATAATAACATATATCTCAAAACATTAACACCATGATACGAACTCAAGAGAATAAAGATTTGTCTCTTACATTACCTATTATAGGTTTGTTGTAGCAGGTGGTTGCACAAGTCATTTGACAATATTCCCTATTCTTGTAATCATGTTTCTTATTGCAATCCTCCTCGCAAGGTATGCGACAGCCTACGGAACCCCCTTCACTGGCCGCAGTCGACTGAGTCGCCGCAGCGGCAACCATTAGCACCACTATGATTATTGCTGCTAGGGTTCTGTTGCTTGCCATTCCCTCTCAAATTTTTTATCCCCTTCTCTCCCTTTCCCTCAATGTTTGATGTTTCCTTTTTACCAAAATTCTCCACACATTTATAATTTTTTTTTTTTTGTTTCCTTTTTAATTTTACTTTAGCAGAATCCGTTTTCGTCTTTTAACTTTTAACCCAACAAAAAAAGGACTCAAAAACCTCCAATTGGTAATCCGTTACAAAAAACTATACAATTGAGGATTTTGTTAAAATGATCCATTTATGATCGAGCAATTTTTTTTGGACATAATGAGTTATTTTTAACTATATTAACTTATAAGTTATGTCTATGGTATATGACAAACTCTAGGTGTATACGATATGAACTATCATAGAACTAGTCACTAAATATTAAAGATCATATTTTTTAGATGTATTTTGTTTAATATGGTGATAAAATTTCAAAATACAACTAACATTTGTATTTATCATTATAAATTTGTCCCTATATAATATTTCAAAAATAAATACAAATAACTAAAAAATCATAAATAATTTTTTTGATATTCACACATTTTTCTGTCAGTTATTAATTGTTACGCTAGCTTGTACCCGCCCTGTTGGCCGGAATATTAAAAATTATTTTTTGATAAGTTAACTGAAATGCACATTTTTGTCAGATGTATTTAATTAATAAGTAAATATTATTTCATCTTCCATCTCGTGATTCCCATAATCTTACGATTATATCTAGAAGATATTCTAATAAATATTACTACAAAACAAAGATCAAGATAAAGTTATTTGGTAGAATCTCATATTGGGTAAATTCATCAGAATATGTATGGACTCTTCACATATTTCACATTTATAGTAAACATATATCCAAACTATCAACTATGTATGGACTATTGAGTGACCACTTCTATTATTGAGTGGCAATAAATATAGATGATAGATTAAAAAACAGAAACAACAATTAGGATGATTAACAGAATAATATAGCTAACTTTAAAGAAGGAACTAGCTTTTTATCCGGCCCGTTGGCCGGAGAGATTTATTTTATAATTTATTTGTTTAAATCTTTTTGAATCTTTTAAATATTTTATAACAGAGTTTGTAGTATGTCTATTTTGAAATTTTCAATATTTAGCACACTCACTTGTGATGCTTCGGTTTTTGAATCATAAATTATGTCGCTGTCACATCCCATTTAGAACTTATGAAAAAATTTGTCAACCAAAACACTAATATTTAGCGTACGCCAACCTGAACCACACACACACATATATAGTTCAAGCTAGCGTGCGCCAGGAGTACGCTATACTCTTGTGTTCATACTACCATACGACAATTGAGTTTTACTATTTAGACCTGAATTAATCGGAGTTTTTTGGGGCATGATACTATACCCTAACCTCTAATAGGTGAACTCTAGTCCCTAATTCTGTAACCTCTAATTATGTACATACTTCGTAATACCTATCTTCTATCGTATCTTGAGTTAAATAAAGTATAGTATACATTGATATTACATATACATTTATATATATGTGTGTGCATATGTATATTAGACTCAAAATTATCTAGAGATCTCGCTTTTACCCCCATAACGCCAGACAACCATTGGGGTTGTCTAACGTTCGATATGTAATATATAAAGAGGCAAAATACTAAGATCCTACTATTTATTTCTTATCCTCTCTCGTCGTCCCCTTTATGGAGAATAAAAAGGTAGGGATGACAGGATCATAGCTCAATATGGTTTTTTTGGCTTCTTTTTCATTCTACTTTATCACCTATGGTTGTGATCAGAGGTATTTAGCCCTCGAAAGGGATTGGGATTTTAGGTCATTTGGAAATCCAATACACATTCATGATCCTCGAGTTTGGACGAACTCTCGATCAATGTTGTAAAAATTACGACTTTTTAGTGAGAAATTCTTAGTAAAGATACTTCATTATTGGATTTATTCATCCATATTGAAACTTGACACACGCCGTAGCCCTCATGATGACTAAATTCTCTAATATCGACTCATTTTCGTTTTGGATGTTTGTTTTTTTTTTTTGTCCAGACACTTAAATTTAGTATATTATAAAATATGTATCAATTGTTAATTCTTGAAGTTTATACTAAATCTCAACCGGTGGTCATTGTTTATATGTTGGCTTCGAATCTCAATCTAAGGCACTCACACACACTATCGAGGATTTTGGTCTTAACATGATCATTGAATGTGTAATTTTCAAAGATTTTATCACTTATATATTAATAATTGATAAAGAGTGTCTCAAATACACACATATTTTAAGTGCATTTAAAATGACTTATCATTTGAACAATATCAGTGTATTTCATTTGATTATTTGCATTAACTTATTATCTTATACAACATATATTAATTCGTGTTTCTCGAGTCTAGACGAACTGACAACCAATTTGAGAGATGAGATTATTGGATAAAGATACTTGATTGCTGGATAAATATGTTTATCCCATGACGATCTTACCAAAAATTGCCAACCTTTATTTGGTAAATGCCTAGGTTAGTAGTTGATGAAACGTGATGTTTATTGTAGATTATGAACAAAGATTTTTCTAACCTTCACATCTATTATTTTTCAAGGAATATTGTGTCTCATCCTAGGGTATGAAGTCAAAGTTCGTCAACAATCATACTTAAGTCATTTTGAAAATTTTGATTTATAATCGTCGAAGATAGCTCCAAGTCTGAAAGAAAATTTCTTAGCATACGACTTAGAACCTCAATAGAGCTTGCTCAATCAATAGGATATAGAGCAAATATTGTTAATGTGAACTTAGGTCACATTATCAAATTATTGCATATGCGATTCCTCTTCATTTGAGGAATTTAAGGTAGAACATGATCTGAATGAATACGAATTTTTTTTAAATAAATAACTGTAACTACTCGATCAAGATTATACTCTGACATTTTGCTAAATAATACAGTTTTATTTATAGATATATACTGTACGAATAAGAGAATGTTTCATTGTAACAAAATATAAAGTAATATATTTTATTTTCCAAAGGTAATTGAATGCCAAATTTTTATTTTCTCTCTTTTCATATATATTTTGGTTTAATCGATTAAAACATAATTGTTTATATGTATGTTTGTTTATTTGTTCATCAAAATGTAACTTATCATTGAATTTTAGTAAGAATGAGTAGAAAATTTATTTCATAATATTTAATAAGATATTATTTATTTAAATAAATGTGATATATGTCACTCTCTGTTTTCTTATTTATATTTTTTTTATTATTTATGTGTGTTTGGTTAAGTTTATCAACATGTAACTTATTATTAAAGACAAAAAAAAAATTAATGGATAAATGAAAAAGAATAATTGGATAAAAGAAATGGAAATAGTAAAGAAGAGAGAGGTAGCTCCATAAATACATTAATAACTAATTTTTTGTTTGTAAAAAAGTTGTCCAACTTGGCAAATTGTGGATCCTCCAAGTGCTTATGTGGCAAAAATTTTTTTTTGAATTGCCATAATATATAGTATAGATAACTCCCATAGAAAAATATAAAAACTGAAGCTCTCACCCATAGATTTGCGTATTTAGAGTAGAAGAATTGTGGGTAATTACTGAAGAGGAATTTTTTTGTGGGCATTCGTAAAAGAAAATTCGTGGGTGCAGATTACTTATTGGGATAGTCGGGCCTGTCCATATTCATATTTATTTCAAAAATATTTACAATGCTATAGTGCTGCCCGGGCTTCATAAGTGGCCCAAAAAAACCCGACCAGTAATTGGGTGGGAAAATAATTAATTTATAAGTTGATGGACTAAAATACCCCTCACGCAAATTAAGGAGAGGCCAGAAATTTTTGAATGGTGAAAATCCTGTAAAACTCCACTATTTTATATTCTTTTGATTTGATTTTGATTTGATTTGATTTTAAGTCCAAAATTTTAGTGTTAGACCTTTTACCTATAGTCATTTTAAGGTGCTGAAGCCCAAAAGCACTGACAAGCACAGTTTGGGCTACGGATAATCGTCGGCCCACATCTTTAAACTTGAAAGCCCAACAGGAAGAGCCGGATGACTGAACTACCCTTCCTCCCCCAATTATTTTTACTTCCGTTGCTACTTGTTGCTCAAGAAGGAACGAATAGAATACCCTCCCTTTGTTCTTCGCTCAACAGAAAGGATCGCAACTTTGAATCAGGAAGCTCAGACCAATCAGTTGCAGCAGCAGATCAACGACAATGGAGTGCGTTTTCGGGTTAGTCGGGAATGATTACGCAATAGTGGTGGCGGATACCTCCGCCGTGCACAGCATCTTGGTTCACAAATCCAACGAGGACAAGATCATGGTCCTCGACTCCCACAAGCTCGTCGCCGCCAGCGGCGAGCCAGGCGACAGGTTCATGATTCAAGTTCACTGCTTTTATTTTTTTCCGGTTAGAATTGGGTCTCTTCGTACTTGAACTCTCGTCCAGTGGTGCGGCGGAGGTGTGGTTTTTTTTTTTTTTTTGGTTTGTTGGTCTGAAACGCATTGGAAATTGGCTGCAGAGTTCAGTTCACGGAGTATATCCAGAAGAACGTGGCTTTGTATCAGTTCAGGAACGGGATCCCTCTGACAACAGCGGCTGCAGCCAATTTCACTCGGGGAGAGCTGGCTACTGCTTTGAGAAAGGTAAACAAAAAGTTCTGATTTCTAGGGTTGGAGATTGTTGGGTTGTATCAGGTGGTTGTTGGGTTCTGCCTTCTAGGGTTCCAGATTGTTGGTTTCGAGATTTCTAGAGTTCATTTCCTTATTGTTTGTGAATGGAATCGTAGGAAGTCTCCTGCTTGTGTTTATGTGCCTGATGAGATGATGATACCTGTTCTTGCTTCTGTCACTGTGAAATGGCAGTCTCAAGGAATGTGAAATTAGATTAGCCCACCCTGAGGATTTGATTTGGATGCTAGTGGAGTGTCTCGTAAAGGTTGCATTACTATATTTCGTCTCTTTAGCGTTTGTGTTGATTAGTGGCCCTGTTATGTTGGCTTATGGTTTTAAGGTTTCTGATTCTATTAGCATGAATGGACGATGATATCCTGTATGTCTGTATGATATGTGATGTTTGGGATAATAGATTGCTTGAAGCCAACTTTTAATGATCTAGTACTCGAATCTCTAGGTGGATTGAGACTGTCGAAGCAAGGTGAGTAGAGTAATTTTGTAAAGGGAGAGCAGGTACACCATGTGGTGTGTACTGGATGCAGTAACACTGGCTGTGTGGTCAGTAACCATGAAATACTTGATGGGAATGAGGGTTTGCTATTTACAATGTTGATTTTTTACCCAGTGAAAGTTACTGTGTGCTTTGCCATGCCTTCCTGCCATGCCTTCCTCATTGGTTTAATTTCAACTTCGAACCATATTTACTTTGTAGAGTACCCATCTTCGAACCATATTTACTTTGTAGGGTACCCATCTTCAAACCACATTTACTTTGTAGAGTAACCATCTTAGAACCGAACATCTTCCTCATTGGTTTGGCTTGAATTGTCGACCATACTTACTTTTTGGCTACCCGACTACAAACCCTATTTACTCTGATTGGTAGGTTTCAAATTTGAACCATATTTAGCCTTCTGGCTATCCAACATCTACCCGTATTTACCACGTCTTCCAGATTGTTAGGATTCATACGGCAGTAGCATATGGCCTACAACAGTAAGGATATTACTATTTGCGAGGAAAATGGTCATCTTTTGAGTTGGAGGAGGGCTTGTAGGGGCGGAATTTTGTACACCCCACAACTTTTGTTGAATATCACTGTTTTTCATCTATATGCATGAAAGTCCTCCGTTGCCAAAGCCTTGGAACTAATTTTAGCTTTGGTATTTTCAGAATCCATACCAAGTGAATGTTTTGATGGCTGGGTATGACAAGGAGATTGGTCCATCTTTGTACTACATTGACTACATTGCTACCCTTCACAAGGTCGACAGGGGAGCATTTGGGTATGGCTCCTACTTCTGCCTCGCCATGATGGACAGACACTACCACAGCGGGATGACCGTGGAGGAAGCGATCGACCTGGTTGATAAGTGCATCCTGGAGATCCGGTCGAGATTGGTCGTGGCACCACCAAACTTCGTTATTAAGATCGTTGACAAGGATGGTGCGAGGGAGTATGCCTGGCGTGAGTCGGTCAAGCCTGATGCAACAGCTTAAATGAGAGGAGCTCACTTGCTCTTGTTGCTGAACCTCTCTACTGTTCTGTTAGCTGGCTAAATTTGTATGGATCACCATGGAACTCCTGGGATGTTTACTCGGAGAACTATCTTGAAGCTTTTCTTTTTGGCTGCCTTTTCTTATCGTGTTACCTTGAGTTCCAGAATGGCTGCAATGTTTGGAGTATCAGTTAATGCACATTTCTTACCGCGGGAAAGCTTGTTTTGACTTTTGACTTTTGAAGTCGTCTCCAAAGTCCAAACTAATAGCCATAAGGGTAATTATACCATGAGGTCGATTTATTAAGTGGTATGGTGCGATCGGTAGATGAAAAATCTATGTCGGTTTTGACTAATTAAGTAGTAACGTCTATGAGCAAATGAAGCCACTTAACCAAATCACTAAATCTTTTATAAAATCAGACCAACTAGTCAAGCTTAATGTACCACAATTAATCAAGCGCGATTGATTAATGTACCACTATGGTATAGGACAAGTCACTTGTTTGTGAATATAAGTGGTTTGGACTTTGAAGGATAATTTTGATTTATTTTCACCTTTGAACATATTTACCGAAGTTTGAAAATATGCTTAAACAAATTTTTTATTCTTTAAAGTAGAGAAATTGTTTTGGACTTTGTTATGGTGACTTGCACAAATAGGTTGACCGCAAAATAATAAAGGTCGTCCGAATTTACTGTTTTTGTTTGTTACGTTCAACAAAGCGGTCGACCTTGTATATGAAATGGTCGACCTCTTTAGCAAGCAAACAATAAAAAAGGTCGACCTCAATCTTAAAGCGGTCGACCTTGTATATTAAATGGTCCACCTCTATTGCATTATCTTATCAACATCGAACTCGGAATTATCTAGGAGTGGGCAACAGGAAACGGGTATTTGAGTATATCCATACCCGACCCTTTTTTTGAGGGGTACGGGTACCCAAATACCCATACTAGTTATTACGGGATGAGACTTGGGATTAAAATTTTTGACAATGGGTACACATAGGTTACACGCTAATACTCATTTGGATAGTATGCTAATACTCATTTGGATAGTATGGGTATACCCGTGATACCCATTATATTAATTCCATATACAATACCATAGCTCAAAGCCCAGCCACATGAGCACACTACAAGTGAGTATAATAGAGATGCGAGATGAATTCCGGTCTTTCAGTGGAAGATACATGCAACCACATCCGACTACCATAATGCTAGCAATACCAATGAGGAAAATGCGGATGAGTAGGAAAGAGGTCTAGGAACTCCACGATTTAGATTGTATTTTTTGTGGTGAAATTTGTTAAGTCTTAAATGTGATTTGGTTTTAAGCAACTATGGTCGTGGATACTTATCGGGGGAAAAAACTATGGTCGTGGATTGATATTAAGCCATTGTGGTTTTCGATTTTAGGTATGTGTGAACTATTTGTGAGGTGTGTTTTATTGTATTTGATGTTAGTGATTAAGTTGTTAAGAAGTTATGGTTTCTTGATAGTATAATTGTGGATTGTATTTGTTGGTTTCTATCATAATGCTTAGACCAAACAAAGTACATACATTGACAGGCATAAGCACAAAATTCAAAGTCGCAGACTTATTTTACTGTAAGTGGTCGACCACAAAATCAACATTTTCCTCTACGTTTCACTTCAAGAGGGATGGATTGATGTGTTGACGACTCTTCTTTTATCTGGTCGACCTCTTACTGGAAATGGTCGGCCTCATTGTAGATATGGTAATGACCATTTTGGTAATGACTACCTTGAAGTGGTCAATCTCTTTTTTTTACTGTTCATCATTTTGTATATGACTAAATTAAAATGTCGACCTCTTTTTTGTCGCTACCGTCCCTACAGGGTCGGGTCGCGTTCGCTTTTTGGAGTCGCCATCGATCTTACTTGGAGTGGATCGAATACTCTTAGGTCGGCTCTAACCTTGGGGTCAGAATCGAGGCTTGGTCTGCGATTTAGAGATATAGAAATCTAGGTTCGGGAGTACGGTTACGTTGGGGAAGTGAAATCACACCCCAACAACGCCCAAAATTAGTACTACTTAAGTCGATAAGTTTTTATCCGAGTTGGGTGTGTTTTAGTGATTATGTATTTTTGGGTCCCAGTAGACCATTAATGTATTTCTAATTCATTAAATATGGTTTAACTTAACGTCCGCTGACATATTAGTTTATGATTAGGTATTTTTTGGGCCCCACTAGACTGTTAAAATTATATTGTATTAGTTTATGATATAATTATACGCTCACTGGCATTCATTTAAAAGATAAATTTTGTTAGTTAGTTGGACTCGAACCTTAGCGGTTGCTTACGTACCTGTAATACAGGATCAAAGTCCACGTAGTTCGTTAAGATTTTGATAATTTTAAATGTCACTTTTACCATGTTCCACTGGTCGTGGTTCTCGTATTAAGGATTTTTTTGTTAATAACATTCAAGTTGATTTTTATGGAATTTATGAAAAGACGACATATGAATTTCAGTTATTCAAGAAGAAATTTGATGTGTTAGAAAAGAAATAGGATTAGCCTAATCCACATTCAATATTTCATACCAAACAACAAAGTTAAAACGAAATGATTAGATTTACGCATGATGGGCCAGCAACCCAACTAGTTAAGTCGCAAGTCATAGAGCTCGTTCGTTCCCGAGAATGGGGGTTTGAAACTCTCTAACTACAATTTTTTTGGATTATCGTTTTAGTGAAGGACGGGGGGGAAGGGAAATTTCGTACCTTCCCAAAAACGCGGTGGCAAGGCCGCGTAAATAGTTAGAAACCCTAGCGCCTACCGTGTATGGTGTAACGGCATCTCGTGCCAAGAAAAAAGAGGGGGGGGGGGTAATTACGACATTTTAATGAGTAGGGTATATATTCATCTCTAGCTAAACCCTAATATAACCTATAACCCAAAGGCCAAAGCGGCCGCCGCTGGCCTCTCTCTCTCGCCTCTCTCTTTCTCCCCTTACCCTCTCTCAGTTCTCTCTTCCAGAAACCACAAACGAAGAGAAAAAAATGGAGAGGAGAGGAAGAAGAATGCGACCTCTCCCTCTCTCACGTTCGCTCCCCCTTCTGAGAAACGAAAGAAAAGAAGGACGGAAACTGATTTTGGTCTCTCTCTCTCTCTCTCCTCTCGGCTAGCCAAAATGATGGCTCAGATCAAACTAAATATGTCGTGAAGCCTCTGATCTAGGTAGGCACGAGACATGCACGATCTTTCGTTGCTAATTTTTCTGTTTTTAATTAGGATTCTACTAATTTCCTTTCGTTTTCTTGTATTTGTTTGGGGTTTGGTTTCGGAAGAGGGGAAAAGGAGGCGAGGAGTTCGCCGGCGACGACCAGACCAATGGACGATCGACGGTAGGCTCGGATCTGTTTTCTTTGTTTTTTTCTTTATTGGTTGTTTTTCTGATTTCTGTGCTCGATCGAGATCTTAACCCCATTTTTGTTTTCTTGGGTTTTTTTGTCTCTACCCATGAAAGGAAAGGAGAAACGGAAGTCTCCGGCGGCGCGGCCTACACCAGAAATGACGGCAAGGGTTTGTCTTTGGTAGGTTTTTTTATCTTGATTTTTGTTATTATGGGCTTTGGTTTATTACCACTGTTTTTGGGTTCTAATTCTCGGTTACTTTTTTTTTACAGATCTCTATGATTTGAAGAGGCACTAGGTGATATTTTTCTAAACTTAGACTAGATTGTTAGGTGTTAGAGGCCTATGATTTAGTTTTGTTTATTAATCTATTTGGGTGTTCTAGTCCCAGATTTGGTTCGAACTACTTGATTTTTATCTAGCTATAACATTTTGTTGGGATGTTTTTAAAAACGTTACTGGTTTGTTAAATTTTCACTTTCTGAAATGAATCTATAGTAAACTCAAGGCCAAAGCCACTGCTTATGACCATCCTGTTGATGGGAAGTTTCAATATGAATTTAAGCCATAGCCACTGCTCATGACCGTCTGATTGATGGAAAGCTTACCTCTAAAATTGGGATTTGGTTATATGATTGGGTTTGCTAAACCCAAAATTTACTGTAGTGTCGGAGCTTTTGTTGGATGGGGTTGAAAAACAAAGCTAGACTAATATTTAATGATTCTAACAACTACTTGTGATCAAATTTAACTAACAGAAAACTAAAGTTTTAGTAAGATTAATATGTTGGTATTTTGCCGAATCTGAGTTTAGATCCAATCGATCTAAAAAGGGAGTAACTTATACAAAAAGATGTGTTTTAAAATACCTCCATGGGTTCGATATGTTTTTATTGTTTTTATCTATTAATCAAGAAAAATGGAAATAAAGAAAATTGTTTTTGATTGTCTGTTTCTGTAAGTATTTTTTTTTAATTCCCCCCGTCCCTCAAAACAAAGAGCCAAAAGAACTCATTTATAGCAAAAAAGACGTGTCACGTGTCAATTGGTCACTCGTCGAATTTGAGTCCAATTGTAAGACCTCCACCACACTTAGTCGGTCTTCACTTGTCAGTGTCAGTTCAGGATAAGATTGGCACATGACTTCGGTCCGAGTTGGGAGAGTTAAGCCTGGAGTTGTTAGCTTTATCTAACTGATTTTGTCTTTGTCTTTGTCTTTGCAGGTACCTGATTTGTTTCTGACTCAAAGTGATGACCTAATGAGGAACAATGACTCAAAATGAGTTGGGCCTCCAAGTCTGATTCGTGCCCAAACGAGAGGGATTTTCCCTTGTTTTAATTTCAATTTTCTTTTACTTTGTTCCTCTTTCAAATGTAAAATTACCTAGTGTAATTTGTAATTCATTATTTGTAATTGTACATGTAATAATCTATGCCATTAGCCTTTAATGCTAGATAATTATTATGATGCAATGCAAAATGTCTCATAAAAGTTCAAGTGACTCTTCCAAACCCAATTCATTTCAATCTAAATTATTTTTGAGCCTTCGTTCACTTCAATCTTTAAATCAAATTTGAGCCTTCGACTAAATTATTCGCAATTGGGCTCGTGATCATAAAATTAGGTATATTACCATTCGTTCTATTCTATCTCATCCGAGACCTATTTAAAATCAGTTATCATCAATGTTGTCAGAACCGAACCGGTGTATCAAGCGGTATAGTAAGCGGTTCACACTTTATTGGTTTAACTGATACTAAGTCGTTATAAACCCGTTAATAAACCGGTGTCTAATAAATAAAAATATTATAAGTAGATACCATTAATAGTGTTAGAATTATATATTGATTCTAATATATTTATAACAAATTATTTGTAGGACAAGTAATGATTATCATTTTACATAAATATAAATTACTTAAGTATAATATACGTGATTTTTCAAAAGTTAAGAACACTATTTAATTAGATTATTTCAAAACTAAACATTAAGTGAGAGATTTATACTAAGATTATTAGGTTTTACAACACAAATTAGTGATAGCACTATTGGTTGAACCGCCAAACTTGTCACCACGAGGTACTGGGTTTTTTCTGATCCCTTAAGAATCTGGTTATGGTTATTAGGATTCTAACCGGTAGAGAGGTTCGAACGGCTCGTCTGGTTAACCGGTCGGTCGGCGAATAAACTGGTTGTTTCATCCATTGCGGTTAAATAGACTAACCGGACCGTACTAGAGGCCGGGTCCCGTTTTCACCGGTCCGGTTTTATTTTAACGACACTGGTTATCATACAAGACCTATTTAGGACCAAATATGGTACAAGAGAAGCAACTTGGGAATCATTGGTACTTATTGACTTGCTACTGCAAATCTCAACCAATTTTATCAATACTTCTATATCACGTCATCCTTTTGAGTTTTAAACAGGGTTTCCTTTTCAGTTTTAGGTAGTATGGCTGCTCCGAACAAAATCTGGTGTCTACAGTTGTCTCCTTTTGTATATCTCTTTGTATAAGGAATTATACAAAGTTTCTATAAATACATCATATTTTGTGAGAGTAATCTCGATAGTTGTATTAGAGTTTAAAGGAGAGTTGTTTTTTTTTTGGTGATGTGAGAATCGTATGTAATCTTGTGTTAAACATATTGTCAGTCGATGTGGGAAATTTAAGCTCCTCAAAGTATTAGAAGTATACGCAATATTTTTTGGACGCTAGTCAACATCTCGTGCGGTATATTGAATGGTAAGGGCGCTCGCTAGCTCCCGTGAGGTATTGAATAGTAGGGGTGCTCCTCAGCTCTCGTGCGTTGTTGAATGGTAGAGGGGCTCGCCAGCTCCCTTGCCTTATTGAATGGTAGAGGGGCTCGCTAGCTCCTGTGATGTATTGAATTGTAGGGGTGTTCCTCAGCTCCCGTGCATTGTTGAATGGTAGAGGGGCTTGCCAGCTCCTGTGACGTATTGAGTGATAGGGGCGCTCTTCAGCTCCCATGCGCTGTTGAATGGTAGAGGGGCTCGCCAGCTCCTGTGATGCATTGAATGCTAGGGGCGCTCTTAAGCTCCCGTGCGTTGTTGAATGGTAGAGGGACGTACCAGCTCCTGTGATGTATTGAATGGTATGGGCGCTCTTCAGCTCCCGTGCGTTGTTGAATGGTAGAGGGGCTCGCCAGCTCCTATGGGGTATTGATTGGTAGGGTCTCCCGTGAGATAAACATGATCCGAATACAGTATATACCTTTTTGTTATATGACGATTTTTTAGGCGTTCGTCATCGCCAAATATTTTTGTTGGCGCATTTTTAGGCGTTCGTCAGTGCCAAAAATAAATATGTTGACGTATTTTTAGGCATTCGTCAGTGCCAAATGTAAATATGTTGACGTATTTTTAGGCGTTCATCATCGCCAAATGTAAATATGTTGACGTATTTTTAGGCGTTCGTCTTCGCCAAATGTAGTATGTTGACGTATTTTTAGGCGTTCGTCAGTGCCAAAAGTAAATACGTTGACGTATTTTTAGGCATTTGTCAGTGCCATATGTAATTAAGTTGACGTATTTTTAGGCGTTCGTCATCGCCAAATGTAAATATGTTGACGTATTTTTAGGCGTTCGTTATCGCCAAATGTAGTATGTTGACGTATTTTTAGGCGTTCGTCATCGCCAAATGTAGTATGTTGACGGATTTGAGGCGTTCGCCAGCGCCAAATGTAGTTTTTTAGGGTAATTCCTGAGGACATGCCTAAAGCGATGCATTAACTTGTCCTAATTGTAGAGTGAAAGCTCATGTCAGACTTAAGAAGTCAAAAGTATGTAATTGTCGTGTTATGCATCTGGTCCTTTAGTTGGACATTTGAAATTCAGATAAATGTTTAACTTAACTTATGATGATGTCGTTCATTGAGTATCAAAATGATATGCAAAATGATTGTATGATGAGTCATGCTGATGAATGATGCATGCATGTCATGTGAAAATGTAGTATGATGTATGATTGGTGGTTATAAGATATGTTTGCTTTTGTTTTATGTTTTAACCCGGGGTTTCTTTAAATTGTTCATCCTCCAGAAACTGTCATTTCCTTTTGATCAACTTAATCCTTGGTTCTGCTTATGTTGGAGAGACTTTCAGCTTGTTTGCTTGAAACTTATATTCGTGGTGGTAGTTGTACGAGGATATACTTTGTGGGGTGAATTGATGGTGTATATTTCTTCATTCTTCTCGTCGGCCAGGCTTGGGCCGACATATTTAAGAGTTGTGTATCTCTTGATATGTGCGGTATGTTGGTTCCTCCTCCTTCTGACCATGAAGCTGAATGATAGTAGGTCTGCTGGTTGGTTTAATGAGATTTGAATGTTCTCAAACTCCTTTGGATTTCTTCATCAACTCATGAATGAAAAGTTGATTGATCTGATTCTTGGTTACTCAGACTTCCCCTTCTTTCATGGTGCACCATTTTTGGCCCCGAAGATCTGTTACTGACATTCAATTCTTCGGAACAAAGAGTGCTTTATCAATCTTGAATTAAGACTAATGAAAAATTGTTTGAAAATGTTTATTAGATAATGAAAATAAAATCCATTTCAAGATTTTGCTTTCGAGAAGTGTGTGCAAACTAGATAAAACCGTTTTTGCGTGGTAGTTGCCATGTTGACAAATTTGATTTTTTTAAGAGGAGTGTAAGCCAAACCATGAGAATATTAGTAATCCCTCGCTCTCACACTTGATTTCAGTTTCACTCATTCCTATAGGTGTTTTGAGTTTACGACACTTCAGCTACCATTAAGATTCTGGTCACCCTTAGATGTATTCCTTTATGTTGATGGCCAACTGTGTTCCTTATGGAGATTTACTCAATATGGAAGACCTTGGTGTGATTGATTTAGGAGATCTATGTGTGGCTTCCTCGTGGACGTTTTTTTTATCTCCCATGAAAAGATGCTTTTATCTAATGTGACATCGACGGTAAGAGTCTTCTTGTTCTTAAAGTGTAGCTTACTCAGATTGATGGGGGATATGTGAAATCTTGACCTTATCCATATTAAGCTTCTTGTTGAGGGATTTCTTCTTGTCCCCGAAGTATGAGATTAACTTGATGGGTTGAGAACCACTATTATCTTGATCTTTTTTTCGACGAAGATTTGTTTGATAATGTTGGCGGTCTTGGGCATATTTGGGGAGTTTATCTTTACTTGGCTTTGCCCCCATCTTTGAAATTCTGGTTTCACAAGCCGAGGTTGGGGTTTTTGTGAGTGCAATCTGGCTATGGACCTGTCGAGATTCTTATTTGACCTCTAAATGTTGACTACAGTGGATTTTCAGCTTCTGGTTGTCTCTCAAAATGATGAGTACCTTAGATGATGTGATTTTGGCTATAACAGCTTTCATATCATGAAAGTTTCTCGCTTGAAGGTCCTTCTTGCTGTATCTTGAGATTGATCGGCAAAGACCTTGGTTTGGTGCACACAGTTGGTACTTAAAATGCTAAATATGGGCACTAATTTGTAAGGCCCACAACATTTTTTTCCTTTTTTCCTTTTTTTGTATGGGACTTACTTGACTTTTTCATGCCCCCGTCTACACTTTTTCTTCCTTCATCTAGCATCTGACTTTGTTAGGATGACTATTGAAAGGTCGAGAGTCAGTTGTGGCGATTGATGATGTGGTGCCATTTCTCGTTGGCTAGGTTGAATTGACTATTCATTTTTCTCATAGAAGTGAGGATTCTAATGCCAAGTTATTGTTTGTATAGATGAGTGCTTCACGCATGTGATTCTTCTGTATGATAAATTATATCTTTGATCTTCCTCAATCGTCTAGTCACAAGACTCTGTGAGGGTTTTCTTGCTATTAAAGAAATGTTTGGATCTCTATGCATTGGGATTTGGCTATTTGACTTCACATAAACTGAGCCTCAATTTGTTGGCGAAAGTCGACTATAGTGTGACGAGATTCTACAAGTAGCATGATGTCGTATACTCATTACATCTTTTGACTATTAGCTCACATAATTCGTGGTCACAACTAGGGTGTTTATCTCTCGATTTTAGCAAAACATGTACACTCTCAACACCAGTGGGTGCTCAAAATATTGACCGTAACAGGGTGTTTATAATCGCTCAACACCAGTGGGGTGCTCATAATTGCTTATCATTGCAATCTCATGGCTTAACTTTAAATAAAACTGGATTTGGATGGCTTTTGTTTTTGTAGAAGATAAATCCATTTTAAAAAGGATCCGTAGTGGCATTCATCATTTTGAGAATGAAAAATCGTTCATGCGAACTTTTAAATTAAGATTGGTAATGGTCACACAATGCTCCGAAAAGGTCGAAACGTGAAAGATCTTTTATTCGTGATGATGAAAGGAAAATTTATACATATTTTGTCATGGCAAACGATCTCGATATTTTATTTACTTATATAGGCTCGACATAATCCTTGACTCGAGTTTTGCCTTGTAGTACGCCCACTAATT